TTACTTAGATATACTAGAAAATGTATAGTATTGTGTGTTCAAAGCTAAAATAATAAGCATATAATTGACAACTAATCAGAGATATGGAAACGAACAGACAAAATTACATGATAACATAAATCAAATACAGGTGTAAAAACATAATGTCATACAGCTATGCAGCTATGCTCTGGACAATAGATTTTAAATTTTTAGAGAAGAGTGCAAACTACTATATAATTTGAATATAGTATAATAGCTATTAATGTATCTGTATATACAATATTTACTATGGTGTCTTCTTAGATATCTAATTTCTATTAAAGTTAGTTATTTAAAACTTAACAAGATGAAGCATTTAATTAATAGATTATATACTTAACAATTAAGTCAAACCCTTTTCTATTGTAAGTCAAACCACACAATACTAGTTGCTAATATATTATAACATGATGTTTGCTATATAGTATTCTTAGATATTTAATTTCTGTTAAGTAAGATATTTCAAACTTAATGAGAGGGAACACAAACACAATGTTTGCTATATGGTCTTCTATATATTTAATTTCTACTAAAATAAAATCTTTGACTTTACAGAAAAGAATATACTATAGTTTCCTAGATATTTTAAAGTAAGATTTCAAATTTTATGCCAGAAACACAAACAACCACATAATCAAATAGATTATATACTTATTGACAAAGTTGAAATCTTTTCTGCCAGAATTCAAAACTTGTAGCAATATTCCTGATATGTCTGTAAACACAATATTTGCTATTATATAGTTATCAAGATATCTAATTTTTTATAAAGAAAGATCTTAACCCTTATAAGAAAGAACACAAATATCTATATAATCAATAGATTACATATTCAATAACCAAGGCAAACTCTTTTTCATTGTAGGTCAAACTGCACAATAGTAGACTAATATATAAATATAATACTTGCTATATAGTCTTTTTAGATATCTAAATTCTGTTAAGTAATATGAATTTATGAATTTTGAATTTATTGCAAATAAAAAGTATTTTGATTTGTTATACCAGGTTCAGGCTTGTTGTATAGTTTGCTATCTTTTGAATTGGTTTAAAAATTTTGATTCAATTTTGCTACAGAAGATTTTGTGGTGATATACAGATTTTCATATATAAGGTTTTTTTAGCTTTTTCAATAAATAATATAAAGATTATTAATACATATATGTTCTTAAAAATGTGATAAACTCACTTTCTCGCAGAGCCTTACAATTTTAATTGCTATTGAGTTTGTATCTGATTTATTGATGTTGTTTTCTAATTTTGTCAATTTGATTTAAATACTTATAATTAAATTAAGATTCATTCGTGAATAGGTTTTTATAAACTATTCATTGATACCTTCAGGTATTTATATTTTGATCTTGAAGTTAGTACTCAATATTTGTTTTTTTATATTTCAAACAATGTTTTATTATTTGAAAGGGTAAGCCATAATTTTATGAAATATTTGGTAAAAGAAATACTTGTTACTTATTATAAACAAATATTGTCATATTAATAAATATTGTTATAAAAGCCTAATACATTGCATCATGTATTTTAATCTAATTTTCAGTAAATGATTTTAACTCTGTACGTAACTGATTTTGGTTGACATTCTAGGTTTATGGTAGCGATAATTGGTGATTGAGAACTATGATATAAATTACAAAATAATACACTTGAATACAATCATTTCTAGTTGTCTGAATGAAAATACAGAAAACATCTGGTTTTGTTCTTAGAAAAAACAATAAATGTTTTTAATAAAGAAAAACAACTATGAATAATTTGAAAAAGTTTTAGCAGTATTAAATACTATATCATATTTCTTTTATCAAAAAACTATAATTATAATTTCTGGGACTACTGTATACGTATAATATCAGCTTTCTGAATTTCATTTATCTTGAAAATTCCAAAAATTTTCACGAAACTTTAACATGACAGATATTAAAAAACTCTTCAGTATAAGTGACAAGTCATATACTAATATTTTATTGATTCTAATATATGAAATTAAACTAAAATTCGTTAACCAAATCTAAGCATTTAGACCCAAATTTAAATTTTAGTTACCAAATCAACAAATTAATCGATTAATGCTAAATATGAAAAAAATTTCAGACCTAAGTTCTAGATTGATAATGTATTTAACTCATTTTCCACATTCCGAAGCATCTTATTAGGCATAAAATGATGCATCCTCCTAAGTGCACACCCCCTTTTGGTCTCAAATAATACAACGATTATAAATTTCAACACACACCCTCTCTAAATGCACATTTTGCCTTTTTATTACTATGGTCAAAGGGCGTGCACTTAGAGGAGTGTGACAGTAGTCAAAAACTATTAGATTTTAGGGTATTTTTCACAATGCAACTCATGTAAATCACTTCCATTTTTTCTAGTTTTATGTGACAATGTACATAATAGATATGTCCTACTCAAAATAGTGTTATTTAATAAGGTAGCTGCGCGACACTGTCATGCGAAACCAGGAATGTAAATTAATGAATTAATATAATTTGATTAGATTATCTGAGTACTTTTAAAATTATAAATAGTCCGAAGAATTTATGGGTAAAGCTTGCAATTGATATTATTTTTCTTATGATGAAATAAATTTTGATTGGTTTTATTATAAGAAAATAAAAATTAGAAAAATTTTAAATGTGTGTTTGGATTTGAGGTAGTGAAGCAGGTGGTTGTTGATTGAGTGATCGGGTTACCGAAAGAGGATAAACAATTACTCTTTACAGAAACCATCACGAGTAATGCTACATGAAAAACCATTTTTTTTTGTTTTTAAATTTTATAACAGTAAATAAGAATAGACGAAAACCTTATATATTCAAGTTATTATATTATTTAAATATTCGATTTGATTAAAGGAAATTATAGTTTTCATTATCAAGGTCATGATAAGAAATTTGATTCATATTAATAATGGTACAACAGTATAATATATTTGTCTTCAATGAAAATATTACCAGATCAGATTAATAATTAATCAGGCTATTTGATTCTGCAGTGTATGCACATTAGGGATGGTAAAAAACAGTTTAAACAGTTTTTTAACATTTTTTATTGTTTTAAACCTTTTTTTAAAACATCGGCGTCTGATTCTAAAATTTGGCTGAAATTAAAATTATCAGTTTTGATTGGCTAATTTTAGTTTTGATTGTTAAAGAGAAATTTTCAAAAAACAATGTGCTATACAATTTCGAATTTATTACATTTAAGAATATATGTATTTGATCGTTTTAAGAGTTTAAATGCATAATTTCGCCTATTCGCAAATATAACTTCTATTGATTTTAAATGCATAATTGCCTATCAGCAAATACAACATTCATTCTGTACTAGTTTTGCATTCATTAGTTTTGAAATACAAGGTTACAATACATGCATCTTCTTGTAAATATTACCACTTTCGTAAGTTATTTCCAGAAAGGATTTTCAACAGCCATAAAAGGAATTAAAAAACTTTGCTAATATACTATTCGCATCCAATTTATCTAATTGCACATTATTCGAACCAGAATCCAGATGGCCTTTTAATCAGTCAACTGAATCAACACAGTCTTTTTTGCAATAATTGCATTTTTGGTGAGGAGTTTTTCAACCATGTTTATCAGGTTCAGCAACTTTTATAAAGTTCAAACGGATCTCTTTTAGAGGGGGTCTTCCGCGAACATAAGACATTTTTGAAAATTTTTTATTTAATTTATTTTTTGAATATCGATTTATTTATTTTTGAGTATCAATCATAAAAAATATTATAAATTAAATTATGCAATTCGGATCATGTTTAGATCATATTACATCATAATGTATTAAAACAATTTTCAACAGTTTTAAATCAAACAAGCATGTTTTTTAAGATCACGTTTTAAAACATTTGCCATCCCTAATGCACGTAAGACAAGTTCTTTGTCTCTTTATGCATCAAAACAAAAATTTATTACAATATCTTTAAGTAATCATAATGTAATCTAATCAGCTATTTATGTTTTCTGGATTGCGATTAACCGGTCAATTACTCGATTGCGTTCGCTTGATCTTCACTTTTTTTCATAAACACAACGGTAAAATGAATTAACATATATAGATTAATTATAATGCTAGTAAAGATCTACGGTATGAACTATAATACTTATACAGATCAAATATTATTTAGAATATCAAAAATCACAAGCGGAAGAATTTTTGAAAATAATTAATAAGAGCAAATAAACAAACTTGTTCAACAGCGGGGATCATGCATAAGCAGATCTGAAGTGCAAATCATACTATATATTTTTTTTATCCTTGAATCGATTACCAAAAGTAGTAAGGTATAACAGGTATAGATGCTCGTATGTACTGTACGTACCAGAATTTATAATAAGCGTATAGCCACAATTTTATAAAAATGAATCACTTTCATATGGCATTAAACAAAACCAGTATACGTGATCATGTGCGTGCACGATGTCCAATGAACAATTTGAATACGCCATCCAATAGGATTCAAGAATTTGAACACAGATAGTTGCCTGTAAACCATACACTTCGTTACTTCGTACTACGTTCCTGGTATAAAGTGGAATAAAATAAAATTATTATAGCCAATCAGATCCGAAATTATTCCAAAAATTGAAATTTGATTGGATACTTAAAATTTATTGATAATACCAAAATAAATGAAATTTATTACGGAAGTATTCACTGTCCCTGCATATGTGTAATGTGGACAATCGGATATTTAAATATCAGCTGTTAATCATGTGACAATGATTTTAATAACATTACTAAGGTTCGGACTTTTGCATAGGAATGCTGAAGGACAGACCAAAATTACATTTTTGATGCTATAATATGAGTTAACTATGAAATGAATCTAAAAGGTATTATTGATTCATGAAATATGTAACACTTGTGACACATTGTAGACCATTTAATTTCGGAAATAGTTTTTTTGTGCATAGTAAACGCTTCTTGTTTAACTAAACAGTATGGCAGAAGAATATGTCGAAAATATTAATATTGATATCGAAAGTGATGAGAACGAATCAGGCAATGTCGTGCCGGATTTTAACAAACAATGTAAGCTTTTAGTACTGATAAATATGAAGTGTATTTTCAATATATACGGTAAATTAATATCTATGCAATATTAGTGATTGAATATTCAAAGCAATTACATATAAAAAATTTTGATTATTCTCAATTTGAAATAAATAATATTATTGGGCGCGGTGGAATTGGAATTGTTTATTCTGCTACTTTTCAGAAGAAAAATTATGTGCTAAAAAATCTAAGCAATCATTTATTTATTGATAATAAATCATTTAAAAATCTCAAGCGTGAGGTAATATGATATTATTATTATTCATTACTTATTTTAAGCACTTTTCAAATAATAATTATTAATAATGTATATAGCTTGAATTCCTTTGTAAAGTTAAACATCCTAACGTTGTTGAGTTCTATGGAATCTCATGCGGTATGATAAAACTTAATATAGTACCTAAAATAATAAAATGCTAAATAGTAAAATTTAATAAACAGACGAGAAAAGTTTTATGATAGTGTTACAATGTGCTAGTGATGGAAACCTGAGGAATCATTTGATGATGAAAAGAAAAGACGGCTTTTACAAAATTTCATGGAAGGAGCTTACCAAAATAGCAACAGAAATAACCGATGGACTGAAATATCTGCATGACAATAAGATAATTCATCGAAATTTAGTAAGTTTTGACTGTAAATAATCACTAAATTTCCACTTGATTAAAGTTAACTCATTTATTGCTAAATTATTTTAGCATCCTAACAATGTACTAATAGACAGCGGTAAGTCATTAATTACAGACTTCGGAGTATCAAGACAGTTGGATTATGACACCACTGCAAGCTCTGGTATAGACATGCCAGTGGCATACATTGATCCACAATATCTTCAATATAATAAACTCAATGAGAAATCAGATATTTACAGTCTAGGTGTATTATTTTGGGAGCTCACTAGCGGCATTCCACCATTTAAAAATTCTTCCACATTAACTATAATGTTAGAAGTTTTAAGAAATAACAGAGAAAAGCCTGTTTTAGAAACACCAAAAGGATATACAGACCTTTACAAGGAATGTTGGTCTCCTAAACCAGTTCAGCGCCCAACATTGGATTATATTTTGAACGAGCTTAAAAGACTATCTAAAGAAATTTTCATTAAGTATATTAAAAATATGATTGTCCATCCTTATCATCCATCTAATACGAATTTGGATTCAGGTAATTATTATGGATGCAGTGAGCTTATATTTTTACTAATTTTGAAGTAATGTTAAGTATATATAAAGGTTACATTGGCTTGACAAAAGTATTCACAAATTTTGACCACATTTTTTAAAGTTAATGTTCCAAATTAGGTTAAAAAACTCAGTCTGATCCGGTTTACAGCTCATAGACAGAAGTTCGTCTGCTTGGCTAATAAATTCAATTTAATTTTACATTATTTATACATTTTAAACTACTTTATAGAAAAAATACTATGACAAAAAAGAAACATATAAAAAGTTTTATTAGTGTTATAGGACTCCACCATTAAAAATAAACTCAATCAACTCTGGTTTTAGAGAAGTTAGCATGGTAATAACCTATCTTTAAGAAGTCGCTATTATGCCAACTTCTCTAAAACCAGAATTGATTGAGCTTATTTTTAATGATGGAGTCTTACAACCCCAATAACTTTTTATATGTTTGTTTTTTGTTTATTCTTCGTAGTTTTATTTTTTCTAAAAAAGTACTTTAAACTGTATAAATAATGTAAAATTAATTTGAATTTATTAGCCAATCAGACGAGCTTTTGTCTGAGCTTAAAGCTGTTTTCATAAATTCTGGAACAACTGAAATAATTGCGATGACCGAATCGATAAATTACCGAGCTGTAATCAATAAGTAACTGAATTCGGTTGAACTCAGAAACTTATCGATTCAGACATCGGCAATTTTTTCAGTTGCTCCAGAATTTATGTAAATAGCTGTAAATCTGGGTCCTCCGAAGTTTTTAGTGTCTTATCATTTTTTATATGATAGAGTAATAAAGGCTCAAAATCCGGGTCCGATCCAAATTTTTTAGCCGAAGCAATTTTCGGAATCCGATCCGTTCTAAAATTCAGAACAATTTACGTGAGTGCTGTAGAATAAAAATTTCGGGTGAAAATTTAAGTTTTCACCGTAGCCAATTAATGAGAATTATAATGAGAAATTCACTATAACGAGAGTAGCTTGCGCATAATCATTGCTCTACTGTGAAAAAATGTACTTACGGTCGTTCATAATATTATCAATCTACAGGTAATTGCGTTACCGAAACTACAAATAAAATTTCACTTACTACTTTTTACTTTACGGCACTCATGTAATTGATTACAAGCCAAAAACATTACAAATTTTACATATCTTATAAATTTAAAACAAACATGCTTTCGTCACGTCTTCAAATATAAAATGCTTTTTTGGCCAAAATTTAAATGTAACTTTTATATGTGTTATTGAGTATAATATGATTAATTTTCTCTTAAAAATCAAGATAATGCTGGTGATAATTCTATTGAGGAGATTATTAAAACATCAGGAGTTGGGTTTTATGACTATGATGAATTTTCCGAAATTAAGAAAATTGGAGAAGGTGGATTTAGCCAAATTGAAAAGGCTTACTGGAATACAAAAAATAAAACTGTCGCCCTAAAGAGTCTAAAAGTCAAAGTGAATTCAAATGAAAACATTAATGAAGGTTTTAAAAGAGAGGTTTGTTTCATAAGTTTTTACTTTGCATGTCAATCCTATTTTTTATGATTTATTTTAAATCATACAGGCACGATTGCTAGCCAAAATCTCGTCGAAAGATATTGAACCACATCCTAATGTTAATCATTTTTACGGTGTGACTAAGGATAAAGGTTCAAAATATTTTTTAATCTTACAATATACCAATGGAGGCAATTTGCGAGAATATTTAAAAGAAAACTTTGCGAAGCTCACATGGGGCAAAAAACTAAACATGGCATTTGAAATTGCGAGTGGACTTAAATATTTGCACAAAAAGAAAAATATCATTCATCGAGATCTCGTAAGAATCTTATTTTTTACAACATCTTACTAATTGTAGGTAATAGTGGCGCTTATCTGAGACATCAAGCCTCTGATTACAATTAGTAAAATAGACGATACGATAGGTGTGCAATATACTATATAAATCAAAACGATGGTTTTTATATGGGACTCGATTTTATTTGTTTTAGTCACAACTTTATAATGCTCAATGTTATAACTTATAAACTATGGTTCTATTTCTTTCATTTAAGCGTGAAAAAGAATTACATTAATTACATTACAATTTTTAAAAAAATATATGATACAGTTTCTTTTTTATATATAACTGAAAGAAAATGCCTGTGTTTATTTATAGAAATACATTGTTTCAGAAACTTTTCACTAAATTTAATGAAAGCTATATAAAATCTTTATTAGTAAACTTTTTTTATATTGATTTACACAGTATATTGAACACCAAACGACATATACTCTGAGTTTTTGGAATTACTCATTTTTAATGGATTTACTCTTAACTTTAATACAGCATTCTAAGAATGTCTTAGTTCATAATGATAGAATGATAATAGCTGACTTTGGCATATCAAAATTGCCAGACATGGAAATGACATCCGTAGGAAATGGAATACCTGCTTACATGGATCCACAATATCTAAAAGATCATACATATGAGCGTAATGAAAAATCAGATATTTATAGTCTCGGTGTTCTTCTGTGGGAAATATCAAGTGGCCATCCTCCTTTCCAACATTTCACTGGCGCTGCTGAAGTAATTTATCAAATATTTGAAGGAGAAAGAGAAACTCTAGTAAAAGGCACACCTGCGCAATACTATGAATTATATTCACTTTGTTGGGATGAGGAGCCTAATAAACGACCGGACATACAAGAAGTATTTAATTCACTCGATCAAATGTTAAAAGAGTCAGACGAGAGGAATCAACAACCTACTTTACAAGATACAAAAAATTATGGTTAGTTTATTATTATATAGCAGTTGATTCATAGTTTATGAAATTGATTTCCAATCGGGCTAATTCGGAAAAACTTGGACCAGAATGCAGATTCTTATTCATATGTAAAACATCTTTTTACTTTATTAATTCGATGGTTTATTTGATATCGTTTACAAATGAATAAGAACCGGCATTCTGTCCAATTTTTCGATCAGGTTTTCCGAGCAAAGATCTAATTTATCAATTAAGCATTTGCTAATATCGTTATTTATTAAAAAAGATTGCGAAGAAAAATCTGATAAAGTTAATACAGATATAAAGAACAATCCTATGATAGAAGAAATTATTAAAAAGTCAGAAATTACCGTTTATGAGTACAATAATTTTTTTAATTTTAAAAAATCTGGTGAAAGTAAATTTAGTCAGGTTTTGAAGGCAGATTGGAAAGATAATTCTGCCGTTGTTTTAAAAAGTCTGGTAACTAATTTCGAGATGGGAGAAAAGCAATTTATTAGAGAGGTTTGTGGCATTATGATACTAACTTAATGAAGAATTTAAGGTAATTCTGTAATAATGTTTTTTTCATATTGCAGATACAATCTTTAGCCAAGATTATGAAAGATCATCACCCTAATATTATCCGCTTTTGGGGGGTAACTAAAGATCATAAAAGCCAGATCTATTTTTTGATCATGGAATATGCAAATGGTGGCAATTTAAGAGAGTATTTAGGCTTGCATTTTATATATCTCACTTGGGGAAACAAATTATCCATGGCGTTAGACATTGCATTGGGACTTAACTATTTACAAGATAAAGACATTGTTCATAGAGCTCTTGTAAGTAACATATTCTTATTGTGACTACTTAATACTTTTAAATCAGTTTATAAAGGGGATCAATTTTTATACCTCAATTTTAACAAACTTTTTTTATTTGAATTCTATGAATTAATAGAAATTCAAAAAAAAAAGTATTATTAAGTAGACTTAGTGGTTGTTGCTGAAATACCTTCACTCAAAGTTTTAAAAAATCTAAACCGTCTCAACAACCACAAGGCCAAACTCGATGAACCTTTTTTATTTAAATTCTATGAATTCATAAAATTCAAATAAAAAAAGAATCATTGAAACTGACTTGGCAGTTGCTGAGATATCTTCGCTCAAAGCTTTAAAAAAAAATTCAAACGTCTATTAAAATAAAAGTTGTGCCAAAATTTTGAATGAAAATATCTTGGCAACCGGCAACCACAAGTCTAAATTTAATAATTTAATGAACTTTTTATTTTAACACTATGTATTCATAGAATTCAAATAAAAAAAGATCATTGACTTGGTAGTTGCTAAGATAACATTGGTCAAAGTTTTAAAAAAATCCAACCCGTCTATCAAAATAAAAGCTGCGCCAAAATTTTCTCTAAACATTGAATGAAAATGTCTTGGCAACTACAAGGCTAAATTAATGAAATTTTTTTTATGTGAATTCTATGAATCACAGAATTTGAAAATAAAATTCATTGAATTTGGCCTTGTGGTGCCAAATTATTTTCACTCAAAGTTTAGTGAAAATTTTGGCGCGGCTTTTATTTTGATAGATTTTTTTAAAAAACTTTAACCAATATTATCTTAGTAATTAACAAGTCAATTTCAATAATCCTTTTTTTATTTGATTCCTATGAACTCATAAAATTTAAATAAAAAAACTTCATCAAATTTAGCCTTTTGGCTGTTGAGATATCTTTGCTAAAATTTAGACAATTTTGCACAGCTTATTTAAATAGGCATTTTTAATATTTTTAAAACTTTAAGCGAAGATATCAAAATCATATTTAATAATTTTATGGATTCATAAATTTAAATAAAAAAAGTTTATAAAATTCAGCCTTGTGGTTGCTGAGATATCTTTCCTCAAAATTTAGAAAAAAATTTAATCTGGTTATAAAATTGGAATATAAAAATTGATCCGATTTATAGATTGTGTGCCTTCTGAATTTTTAAAATATTTTATAAATTGTGTACCTTTTTATTTTAATTCTAATAGAATTCCAAGAATATTCTGGTTCATAATGGTAGGATGAAGATTGCCGATTTTGGCATATCCGGATTGGAGAACGAAGGACTATCAATTACTATGAACTCTGTAGGAAAAGTGATGACTGCTTATTTAGATCCTCTATACCTTAAGGATCACAAAAATGAACTTACTAAGAAATCGGATATTTATAGTTTAGGAGTTATTTTTTGGGAGATATCTAGTGGCCATCCACCATTCCAGCACCTTCCTGGATTCAAGGTGACTTACCAAATATTTGAGGGAAAAAGAGAAGAACCAAAAAAAGGCACACCAGAGAAATATATCCAGTTATATAAGCGTTGTTGGGATGCAGAATTTGAAAATCGCCCGGATATTAAAATAATAATTAAAGATCTTAGATCAATATCAGATGACATTGAAGGTGAACCATCTACACCATTAATCATACCTGAGCAAATTGAAGCTATTAAAGTCGATAATTTGATCAAAAATCAAATCGAAGAATCAAAAAAAATAAGATTGGTCGGCATATGTGACAGTGGTTTTACATTTAAAGAAAATCGTATCGAGAAGGCTTGTGGTCAAGCATTTAAAATTAATATAGATCAAATTACAAATATACAAGATGAGAATAATTATGAAAGAAATGAAAATTTTGAGTATGAATTTGGTGTTTTTTTTAAACGAAATTCCAAATTTTCTGCTATTCTACCCAGTAAATATCGTTTTCCTGGTACATCGTTTACAATACGTTCAAATTTAATAATGAAGGAAGAAATTATTATATCAAAATCAAGCATTACATTAACTGAAAGCTTTATAAATGATGTTAAAAATGCTTTAAATACAACAGATAATAAATTAATCAAGCTTCGTGAGATATCGGAAAAATATGGTCATTTTTATGCACATCGCTTTGGTTTCGGAGGAGCTATTATTCATATTAAGAATGCTAACAAATTTTCGGGAAATTCTGAACAAACTAAAATTATTGGTGGGAATGTTGAAGAGAATACTGAAGGAAATGATAACCATGCATGGATTGAATCACTTAAAGATTTTCGTACATGGGAAATAATTGAGTACAGTGATATTTGTCCTATATTTGACTTATTAAATGATGAATTACGAAACAAAGTTTTAGAAGCATTAGGAAAAAGAATTTTAAAAGGTATTAAATATTTGACTTTAGAAACATGCAAATTTGCAGCTTTAATGCTACTTGCAATATAACTATTTAGTTATTTGTAGCAAATTTAGTATTACATTTACTATATATTAGCAATACTTACACTACAAAAATTTTTACAAATCAAGTGTCTGATTTACAGCTGTTTTCATAAATTCTGGGACAACTGATAAAAATTATTTCGGCCGAATTCGATAAGTTTTTGAATTCGGTGTTATCGGAATTTGATTTCGGCGAATTCAAAAACTTATCGAACTTTCGAATTCGGCTGATCAATTTTTATCAGTTGTCCCAGAATTTATGAAAACAGCTGTAAAGCTAGTTGCTACCTGATTGATGTCAATTTTGTTGCAACAAAAATCGACATCAATCGGACATCTGATAAAAAAATTGGCCAAATGATTATTTGCCGATTCGATAAGTTTTTGGTTCAGCAGCGATAAACGATTTGCGATATACAATGTCAACACATTTAAAATTAATTTTGCGCTTGAATGTATGTCCAGTATACTTGGTGTTTTTAGTCTGTACGGAAATTTATGACGAAGGTTGTTCATGCTAAGCAAAAGATTTGACAAAAAACAAAAAAGGTTCTGAATATTATATGAGCTTTCATGAATTTATTGGACTAAAGAAATATAACTCAAGTTGTAATTATAAACAGCCAAATTTTATTAATATTTGTCGAAACCGCATTGAAAATTATTTGTTCGTCTATAGTAAACATTTTAAAAATTCTTAGTTTGTCTGAAATAATTGCTAATGAATCTGAAATATCCAACTTATCTGAAGTAATAGTATTGTAGTAAAATAATGTCATTAAAAAGATATGCACATTACACAATCGCTCATTACCGAAATCAAAAACTTATCGAATCGGCCAAACAATCATTCGGTCAATTTTCTCACCAGATGTCCCAAAAGTAATGAAAACAGCTGTAAAATCAGACACCTGATTTATATCCGATTTGCCATCATTCGACCTGTGGTAGTAAAAATGCTAATATAGTAAAATAGAATAAATGTAAATTACTACAAAGTATGTTAATTGCAAATAGTATCAAAGTTGCGTAGTTGCATGTTTCTGTAAAGTACTAAATTTTTAAGTTCTCAAATGATTAATTTGGAATTCTTTATTTAAACTTTACCGATAAAAAACAGTGAAAGTAGAAACTCTCTCGTACCCGTTGGGTGATCAGAAAACACCTTATGTCTACCCTTTAAGTGATCAATTAAAGGATATATATAACATTAAAGATTGTCAAATATTTACTTCAATTAAAAGTCAGAATGAGAAATATGTATTTTCAACACATATAAAATATGAAGAAGAAAATATTCCGGTCGTTGTTATTCATCATATAAAAGCCAAGAAAAAAAAACCTAAATGTGAAAAAATATCATCAAACAAAAAAAGGTTTCCTTTCAAAGAATGTCCAATTCAGTTATGTTGGTTTGTAGTCGGATATCCAGCAGACTTTGATTTTGATCAGACACTTCGACAATTGGAAATTCAAAGCGAAAAATATCCTGTTTCTATTTCAAATGATATGTATATGGTACAACTTCCATATTCTGTAAAGGATGAATACGTACTAGGAACATGTGTTTTGGAACCATCATCAAGTAATATTGATACACTTGTGATTGGTGTACATTTTGCATTTTCCAGAAATTCTGCATGTTTGTTCGTCTACGATGATAATAAACCATTGATCAATAAAGAACTGCAACAAAGTTTGAAGTTATTCGTTTGGTAAGTAAAAATTAAACAAAAGGATATGATTTTTTGTGTAACCTCATACTAATTGCTTAACTTACTTCAATATAGTACAATTAATTATAAGTTTTCTTATCAAGATGGATTTCTTGGTCAAAGTGTAATAACCTGGAATAATTTACAATCAAAGTTATCTAGCATTATTAGAAAGCCAATCAATTTTTTTAATACTATTAAAAAAAATACTGAACCAAAAAAAGATGATAATCTTTTTACCTCACCGGTATTTATAAGCCAATTCTTCAATGATAACTTTGGTAAATGTCATGGTATAATTAATGTCACGTCAAGTTCTATTATACATGGTCCTTTAAATTCACAAGCACGTAAGCAAAAAGAAGCACAAATTTCATATTTTCATGTTCCTCAGGAATTATATTGATCATATATTCTGCAGATTGTCATAAATATTTGATTGTATTCTTGTGTTGGAGATTATTTGCCAATTCATGAACTTTTTTTTTAAAAAAAATAGCGTTGTATTATAGGAATTGAAATCAATTTTATAGAATAAATTATGGATTCAAAGGTAGTATGCTTATTCATATTTTAAAGAAGAAAGTTATAATAGATACCATAGACATTGTGCGAAATAATTCAAACTATATTAACCTTGTACGTTATAAGAGGCATTTATTATTTGAGGCAGAGCTATCTAAATATTATTGCCATTTCAAAAGTTATTTTCAGAATGATGGTAGCAAAAATATCTGACAAATTTTCAGAATTATCTATCAATAATTCCGAATCAGAGTATCAAATCTAATAGAACCTTTATTTTTGTAATCAATAATAATCATATTTTTTAAAATTCCTAATAAATGAGATTTATATACAGTATATTTACTTGGTAGCGATTTATTACAGTACTAAGTAGGTGCTTAGTAATTACGATGAGTTATTTGAAAAGGTACAAAATATTCATATAATGACTGTTGGTATCAAAAGTGACGTGACTTATGTTTTAACAATTTAAAAAGCAAGCTTGCGTCTACCTTTATACTGGAAAGGATTTCTGCCTTACATTTACGAATTTATTTTTAGTAATTTAGTAAACATGAGATATAAGTAGAAAAAGAATCTCACTAATCATTAAATTCTTTTGATAATAAATCTTACCACATTTGCTAGCAATAAATATTTCGAATGCTTTTTTCACATCTTTAATTTTTTTATTTTTTTACTAATTCTTAGGCCCGGGCGTTGCCCCGGGTATGAGGTTCTAATTTTTTTAATTCTTAGGCCTAAATTACATTAGCTCTCAGGGCTGAGGTGTTGCCCCGGGTCTGAAGTTCTAACTTTTTTCTAATTCTTAGGCCTAAATTATATTAGTTCTCAGGGCCCGGGCATTGCACCAGATATGAGATTTTTAATTTTCTTTTTTGTTTTAGATCTGGGTTTAAATAACCTAGTCTAGATTTAAATAAACCTATCATTGCCTTATTATTCTAGCGCCACAAGGCCTTCCAGCTATGATTAGTATTTATCTCAGTTTCATACACTTTGATAGTATTTGAACTATGCCACTCTACACCAGTTTTAAAACTCATTACATCTTGACTAGTTGTCTTGTTGTTACCTCAACTGGTGTTTCATTAAGATAAATTATAACTCTCTTATAGTGGTTTTTTCCAAGTGTAATATTAAGCAGACAGCTAATTGGGCAACTTCCTTTGCTAGTTGGTTAGCTCTCTCATTCCATTTCACCTTGATCAAATGAAGAACTAAACCCTTCAATCTATATATATCATTAATCTTAATTACCAAATTAGCATTCTGCTTTTTACTTCACACTCTCATATCTGTAAACATCATTGAATCTTCTAGGCTTGCAATTGCCATAGAACTATCTAACTTGACTACAACTTCACTTCTATGCCTGGCTGTCAACACTACCATTAACACTGCAGCCTTTGTTGATAATGGCCATCTACCAAATCTAACCTTTCTCTTACAAGTACTGATTTCTCCAAATTATCCACATCTGTATCCATCTTACAATCTACTTACCCTACTTTTGAACAAGTACCCATCTATATAATACATGCTACTATTTACATTCCTATTACAATTGCCCTCTACTTGTGTATTAACAGTGTCTCTAGCTCTTGATCAAAACTCTGTTCTATAACCAAACTCTTTTTATATAAGCTTATCACTATTGTACTACTCATTTTCCTTTTGCTTTTCCCATTAGTTACTTTATTACTACCTAGTTTAAACTTTTAGCAGTACTGGTACTTTCTTCCTATTATCTAAACTAATCTTGAGAATTGCTTCTAATACCCTACTCTTCTTAACTCACTATTGGTATACATCAACCTCAGCTGTTTGGCTTAAATTACAACTTTTGCACTTTATCAGTATATTTCTACTATTAATTGAAAACTCAGTTTTCAGTGATCAATTGGTACCTGTTTCTTTTCTTTTTTTTTTTATTTAGGGGTAGAGGGTATGTAGATTATTTCTATTAATAGATGAGTGACCAAAAATATTTTTACTGCAGATTAAAAAGTTGCTACATATTAAAGTTAATTTTTTACTATACAAATTATATTTATATACTAAGTAGAATTGTCCACAATAAAAAATTACACATATCCTAAAAATTTTATTAATTTTGAATAAAATTTGATAAAGTTTGCATAGTAACAACTTTTGCGGGGCAGGGTCTATTCTGCAGAGGTGATCACAAATTGGCTAATCAAATCACATAATAATCATAAGTAAAATAGAGTCACAAAAATAAAAACAACTATATCTTGTAATTGACTGGATCGATTTTAATGATTCGACCACTGTTAGAATCAAAAATCCTTCTCTACAATTTTATTAAAAAATTTAAAATGGTTACTTAATAAAAAATTTCTTTATTATTAAATATAAAATTTTTTAGCAACTAGTTTATTAATCAAAATGATCTACATACCATCTACCCTTAACCAACTATTTATTCTGTATTCCCTTTGTTAGCAATCACTAATTGCACTATCTCCGATTATCAGACAACTTCTTTGCATTCATTTGTATATATTAAATTCTCTTTAGTAATAGTTCACTACCTTTCTGCTTTCTATGTATCTATTACTCCAAACCATTTTGCTTTACAACCTTTCAGTGACTCTGTTCTTAATGCGCATAGCTTATTCTATGATATTATCTTTGTATTTGTTATATCAATCAACTGATTCACATAAAACAAGTTGAATCTCCTAATACTATTGCAGTAGATATTATATATTTCTTCATCTATCACTTCAGCTAATGTTGAATCTATATCAAAAACTTGCCACTTCTCAATATTAGCATAAATTTATATTTTTAACTTATTTGCTTTGACTAAAATTAACTCTACCAGATTATTTTTCTTAACCTTTTTAAGATATCGATTTTGTAATTTTTGCCAACTTTTTTTTACTAATACTGCTAATATATAACCCTTATTTAGTCTTATTTATGTTATCTTTTCTACTTGATCCAACTTATTAAGCCTATTTTGCAAGCATATTAGTTGTCTGCTTAAAAGCTCCTGCTCCAAGAACTTACAATGGCTCAACCCTTGATGTGTCATTATTTAATTACCTGCTATTGCTAGCAATTCTATTTTATTCTTAATTATTCTTATTACTTGCTGGTATATTCTATCTATACTTGCTTTAGTTATTTTTGTTGTCTGTAACATATATGCTAACTTCAGCACTATATACAGGCTCTTATACCTTAATTTTTTTACAAAGTGTATTACAATACCTTTTGTCTTTTTAACTAGTAATCTTTTTTACAGATCTGCACTTATCCAGACCTAGTAGCTGTATTAATAATTTTTCTTCTCAGCCTGTAACTGTAACTATCTACCTTGATCCACCTTTTACTCTTTTCCAGATTCATATTTACTACTATAAGTTTGGACTTTACTTTATTTATTTATACAGTACACTCTCCCAAAACTGATTTTGTCAAAACTGATAACTTGCTATAACTAATAAAAAATTGATTCACCATGTCTGTTTCATAATTAAAACCCAATAACCTGCCATTTCTGATAACTGATACCCAAAAGATCAAATATCTATAAAATATCAGTTTTAACAGGTAATATAAATCAATTTAATTGGCTAAGATCAGGTTTTGTGCAACAGATTATATATAAAAAATATAATCTAGCCAATTATATTTATTTGTGATCATGTAACAGCAGGCCATTGGTATTTTAAATCAATTTTTAAATCTGATAATCTCTTAAAACTAATACAAAAGCTGTCTACCATGTATATCAGATTTAAGAGGGTGTACTGTATATTATTAAACTTAAAGAACATCTGTGCTATAGTAATTATTTGCTTAACTTGAACTTTGTTTTCTGCAATCCAAGTTGTATTATCAGCAAAAGCTATTACTGCTTGTCTTATTGTATCAACTTCTGTACTGTTCACCTGCAAATCTACTATCTGACTTGTGCTAACTTTATATCTGAGTTTTTCATTGTCTTAAATTTTTTTTTATAAAATATTTACTACACTAAATAACAGTGAAATTATTTTCTTTTGCTCAATACTATCACCTGCCTCAAACTCATTTATTAGACCAAACTTAGTAATTATTTTGACTCTTCTTTTGTTGAAAAGCTTAATAATAATAAACCTAATTATTTTGAGTAGCAGCTTGACTTTCTGTAATACAGTGTAGAGTTTTTTTAATGACACCAAGTTATATGTCTTCTTTATATTCTGAAGCATCTCCTTTTTACTCTTATGAGCATTCTTAACTATCATCTTAACCAGGTTGGTTGATTTCTCTATTGAACACCCTGGCAAGTCTACATAATTAGGATCTTATTTTCTATAAAGACTTTAGTAATTCTTTTTGTTACTAAATAAGTAAAACACTTTCTAAATAGGGTCTTTAACGGTAAATTACTCTCCATATGGAGGTATATTAGGAGGAATCATGTGATGTCGGTTGAATCCAGAGAGTTTAAATAGATAGCTTCCTAGTTAGGCTATAGGTATAACAGCTAGTGTAGAACCCCTAGCATAGCACTAACGCTTTGGGCGGACTACTTAAATAGGCAATCAAAAGTTGTACGTGTGACTAGTTGTACTCTCATGATACTGATAAAATATGTAAAGCCGGTGCTAAAATTAACATTGGCCTACCGCTTGTACTAATAAAGTGCCAAGGGCCTAAGTGGTCACCTTAATATTAAAAAAAAAAAAAAAACACACACTTTCTAAATATTCTAACAAGACAATTGGCCTAATATTATATAATTGAAAACTCCAGTTTTTATTTTTTGGAATTAGATACACCTGTACTAGCTTCTATTTATCTAGAATCTTATTCTCTACTAAGCACAAACTTGCAAATCTTCTATACTAGCAT